GGCAAGTTTGGTTGCGTTCTTTCTTCGAGGAGGCATCGTACGTGAGAACACAAAACTCATTAGTACACAACACAGTAAAATGACACAATATTGGGTACTCAGACTTTCCCTGTGTAATTACATCGTGACGCCTTGCCTTAAGAATGTCGTCACCCAATCTATCATTAGGAAGGGCCACAAAATCAAAAGAAGACAGAAATAAAAGTACAGAAAAAATAATATTTTATTTTTTTACAACCAAGTAAACTCTACGGGAGCTCTCACGGGTCGTGGTAAGTACCACGGTCCGTTAAACCCTTCGTGGAGTTAATACAAAAGTAGTGTGTATCAGTGTGCCATAAAAACTTGACCAAGTAATGTTCATGGATGGCTTCACGGCTCATGGAGTGAACCACGGTCCGTAATACTAGTCGTGAACTTATCTGAAGGATGGAAGGAATTCAAGTGTGGTCCACGATTGGTTTCACGGTTCGTAGTAGCTTCTACGGTCCGTGAAGCCTATCGTGGTCTTACACTTGACTTGTTCATTAGTCATCGACTTCCCCACAAACAGTATAATTCAGAATTACAACACCAAACTCTTATTTTTACACAGGATAACACCCAACACATATCCACACATCACTAATTTTCTGAATAAATTTAACCAACACATGAGCTCTCAACCAAGTTAGACAAACAAAATATCAATCTACTGTTATCATCCCCACACAAGAACAATTAAATTTCTATAATTCAACTAACCCATAAAAATTCGATAATAATCAAGATTATTCCCAACATACACATGCTAAACTCGACTAATTCGAAGTAAATCTAACTTGTTTGTAGATAAGATCAAATAATAACAAGTTAGAAGAGACTTACTTGGATTAGAGGAGAATTTCGCACAAAAATGAGAAAGTGAACTGGTGACTTCACGTTCTTGGCAAAATCAACTAGGGTTTCGATTTAGGGATGAAAATTAATAATTTCAAAGATGAACACCCTTGATTTTGTGGAAAAAAAAAAAGAACCGTTATATTGAGAGGAATATAAACAAAACTGACCTTTGGCGCTTTGGAAGACCTACATATGTCTTATTTCAATTATACCTTTCGCGCGGGTCGGATCGGGTATTGGTAAACTGGTGTGTGGACAACGGACCGTGAAATAGCCCGTGATGGGAATCACGGTCCATGAGAGTTCCCGTGAACCTAACTTCAACAAACACTTGTGGCAGATGACGGACCGTGAAGTCACCCATAATGGGCATCACGGTCCGTGAAAGCAGTCGTGATCATGACTTGGGGACTAAAATTCTTACCAGATGTTCACGAGAGGCTAAACGATCTGTGTAAGTTTTGAAGGACCGTGAACCCTTCCGTGAACCTTTTTCTTGCAAATTCCAGTAGCTCCTTTAAGATGGGGCTAAGGTTGACGGACCGTGAAGTTGCTCGTGAAGGGCATCACGGTCCGTGAGGTTGCTCGTGAAGAGCAGTCTACACACAGTTCATGTACTTTTTAGCTCAGTATCTCATGCACACATCAACACACAATGACTCTATAAAAACAAAGAAAAATAAGGAAACAAGAAAATACCTAATACAATTACATCTTGGCTTGCCTCCCAAGCAACGCACAATTTAACGTCGCGGCGCGACACAGGTTACTTGATTACTCAGACTTCATCAAGTTTACATTCCTCCACGATCTTCACATCTTCTGGACCACCCAAATATGCTTTGATTCGCTGGCCATATGCTTTGAACCTCTCACCCTTATCATTTTCCAGCTCAATAGCACCCGACTGAAACACTTGTGTTACCTTAAACGGTCCAGACCATTTGGATCTTAATTTTCCTGGAAACAGACGAAGTCTGGAATTGAAAAGTAACACCAAGTCACCAAGAGTGAAGGTTCTTTTTTCAATATGCTTGTCATGGTACAACTTCATCCTCTCCTTGTATAGTGCAGACCTCTCATAAGCTCTCAAACGAAATTTATCCATCTCATTGATCTGATCCAGCCACAGGTTTGCAGTTTCGCTCCAACTAAGGTTTAACTTCTTCAAAGCCCAGAGTGCTCTATGCTTAAGCTCAACCGAAAAATGACATGCCTTTCCAAACACCAATTGATATGGAGACATACCAATAGGCATCTTGAAAGCTATCCGATATGACCATAGAGCATCATCTAACTTTCGTGCCCAATTTGTCCTATTGGCATTCACCATTTTAGCCAGGATCACCTTGATTTCCCTGTTGGATACCTCTATTTGTCCACTGGTCTGTGGGTGATAAGGCATTGCAAACTTGTGCTGTTTAACTCCATACTTGGTCATAAGCGCACTGAATACCTTGTTGCAGAAGTGAGAACCGCCATCACTGATAATAGCTCTGGGTGTGCCAAACCTTGAGAATATATTCTTCTTTAGGAAACCAGCTACACTTTTGCCATCATTCTCAAGCAAAGCAACTGACTCAACCCATTTGGACACATAGTCCACTGCAACCAATATGTACTTCTACCCATAAGAACTCACAAATGGGCCCATGAAATCGATGACCCACACATCAAACAACTCCACCTTTAAAATAGGTGTTATGGGTAACTCATGGCACCGAGAGATGGCTCCTTATTGCTGGCACACATCACAACTCATTAATATGTCCATGGAATCTTGATGAATTATGGGCCAGTAGTACCCACACTGAAGTATCTTGTGGTCTATCCAAGCACCTCCATGATGGCCACCTACTAGAGATGAGTGGCAAGCTTCTAGAATATGCAGCATCTCATCTTCAAGGATGCACCGCCCGATGACGTTATCAACACAAATCCTGTACAAAAAGGGTTCATCCTAAAAATACTTACCTACATCGTGCTTGAACCTTTTCCTCTGCTGAAATTTTAGTCCTTCAGGCATCAAATCACTAACAAGAAAATTAGCATAATCAGCAAACCAAGGAATAAGGTCAAGAGTTGCGGCTAATACCTGCTCATCCGGAAATGCATCATTTATTTCAAGCTCCAACACTTCCTTCTTTTCAGCCTCCAACCTAGACAGGTGATCAGCTACTTGGTTCTCACAACCTCTCCTATCTCTAACTTCAAAATCGAACTCCTGGAGAAGCAACACCCATCTGATCAACCTTGGCTTGGCATCTTTATTTTCCATGAGGTGTCTTAGAGCTGCATGATCTATATGAATTATCACTTTTGTGCCCAGCAAGTATGCTCTGAACTTCTCAAAGGCGTACACTACAACTAGTAGTTCCTGTTCCGTGACCGTGTAATTTCGTTGCACTCCATTCAGTGACTTACTAGCATAGTAAAAAGGATGGAACATCTTGTTTCTCTTATGCCCCAATACAACTCCTAGAGCAGTACCACTAGCATCACACATCACCTTAAATGGTTCGGCCCAATCTGGGCCAATGATCACTGGGGCAGAGACTAGCTTCTCCTTTAGGCAGTCAAAAGCTTCTCCAAAAGCTTGCACATGGGGTGTGCAATCTTAGAGAAGTCCTTGATGAAACGCCTATAGAATCTAGCATGCCCTAAGAAGCTTCGAACCCCCTTCACATAGATTGGTGGAGGTAACTTTTCAATCACCTCAATTTTGGCCTTGTCGACCTCTATCCCTTTCTGTGATACTTTGTGCCCAAGAACTATGCCCTCCTTCACCATGAAATGGCACTTCTCATAATTCAACACTAGATTGCCTTCCTTACATCTCTGTAGGGCCCTGCTAAGATTTAGCAAACAGTCATCAAAAGTATCACCTACCACCGAAAAATCTTCCATAAATACTTCCCGAGTGTCCTTCATCATGTCTGAGAAATAGACATCATACATCTTTGGAATGTTGCTGGTGCATTACATAGTCCAAATGGCATGTGTTTAAACGCAAAAGTACCATAAGGACATGTGAAAGCGCCCTTTTCCTAATCTTCAGGAGCAATTGATATTTGGTTGTAGCCAGAGTATCTATCTAAGAAATAGTACCACCCTTTACCAGCCAACCTATCAAGCATCTGGTCCATGAAAGGCATCGGGAAGTGATCCCTCAAAGTCCACTTGTTCAGCTTCCTGTAGTCCATACTCACTCGCCATCCAGTAACGGGTCTCTGTGGGAGTAACTCATTCTTGGCGCTTGCAATCATAGGCATACACCCTTTTTTGGGCACACATTGTACTGGACTGACCCCGTGGCTATTAGAAATGGGATAGACCACCCCAGCATCTAACCACTTGATGATCTCTTTTTTGACCACCTCTTGCATATATGGGTTTAACCCCCACTGGTGTTCAATGCTTGGGCTGCAGTCCTTCTCGAGTTGAATCTTATAGGTGCATATGCCTGGAGTTATTCCGATGATATCAGCAACGGTCCACCCAATTGCCTTATTGTACTTTATCAATACTTTGATCACCTCATGAACCTGTTCATCATTTAAATCTGCAGCCAAGATCACATGTAAAGTGTTGTTAGTTCCCAAAAATACATACCTTAGGTGACTAGGTAACTATTTCAATTCCAGCACTGGTGGCTCCTCGATGGATGGTTTTGTTGGAGGGCTTGGCCTGTTTTTCAAGTCTAGGTCCAATTTGTTTGGAGCATGCGAGTGTGCTCCCATACCCTGCAAAGCATTCACAGTCTCTATATAGTCCGACCTGAAATCAGCTTCAAAGTTCATCAGCACTGCATCTACGGTTTCAATAGCCATCCTCTCTTCGATGGGTACTCTTATTTCTTCATCAGTAACCACCTCTATTGCAGACACTACATTCATGTCATGTCGCTGCTTCATTTACCTGCAAATATTGAACTTTACCTCATCCTTGTTGAGTCTGAACTTCAGCTCTCCTCTCTCAACATCTACTAAGGTTCTTCATGTGGCCAAAAATGGTCTTCCCAGAATGATGGGAACCTCAAAGTCCACTTTGCATTCCCACATGCCACTTTACTGACCTATCTGCCATCATTAACCTCATTGTTGTGGGTATTGGAATTCCTACCCCAATTTCTTATAGATGGCTAACGGCATCAAGTTAATACTGGCTCCTAGATCACACAAAAAGTTTGCAAATTTGATTGATCCAATGGTGCATGGTATAGTGAATGCACCTGGATCTTCCTTTTTCTGAACCAGAGATCTGGTAGCAATGGCACTGTAATGATAACCATCGTTAGTTAAATCAATACTTACAACTCTCTTCTTTGTAACCAAGTCTTTCATGAACTTGGCATATCCTGGCATCTTCTCAAGAGCTTCCACTAGTGGTATGTTAACTGAAAGCTGCCTCAACATGGTGATGAACTTTGCAAACTTCCCATATTCAACTTTCTGTTTGAGCCTTTGAGGGAAAATAGGAGGTGGTCTGGGAATCTGCTGTAAAGGGATGTTTCCCTCGACCTCATTCTTTTTTCCTCTCGCAGGTTGTGCTATTGGCTGCGTATCCTCCAAGTCCTCTACCTGTACAACTTCATCCTCCTTTCTGCCAGCTTGCTCCAATACATGTACCTGCAGAAATAGGGTCAGTAAGAATTTTACCACTCTTGGTGGCGATGGCCATGCAGTGCCCGTCCTTTTTAGGATTTTGGATTGTGTCACTTGGTAGTGACCCATTTTTCCTCTGATTCAATGAGGCTGAGAGTTTCCCCAACTACTGCTCAATTTGCTTGATGGAGGTGGTGTGAGAGTCCACCTGTTGACTCATGCTCGAGAAATTACCTCTTATCTGTTTTACCCCTGCATCAATTGATTCAACTTTCTAGAGTACCTTGGCCATCATGTCTTCCAGCTTAGACACACTGAAACTACCACTTGCCCGATCTCTATTACCTGGGGGAACATAGTGATAGCATCCAAGGAAGCTCTACTCCATTGAAGGACAAGGATGAAGCTTTAGAAACTCCAAGGAGGCCCATAACAAGATCTCAAACCAAGGAGTTCAATGATAAGCTCAATGGGCTTCAATCGCTTATCCAAAGGTGTCTTATTGGGGAAGAAGAGCTCAAGCCCAAGGGAGAGGAATTGTCCAAATGCTACAATTATTTGGTGGCCCAAATTCAAGCCCAAGATGAGGATTTTTAAGGTCCAATTTCGTGCAAATAAGGTCAAGAAGAGTCCAAGAATCAGCCACAACAAGAGTTGCTTTCTGCCCAAGTTTTGAGAGAAGACTAGTCAAACTTTCCAAGATTGTCAAGATTCTTTTCCTAGTTGGGATTTTCCTTTGTTTATTTATTTATTTATATATAGGTTATTAATATTTTCCTTAGTCTATTTATGGTCTCCTAAGTACCATTTAATGCTTTCCTAGAAGTACTAAATTTGTTCCTAGTTAGGTTACTTTATTTCCTTTCTAGAGTAGGATTCCTTGTAATTGTTTTTTTTAGGGTTTGGCTTCTTGGACGTTTTTCCCTTCTCCTATATATAGGAGTCCTTTTCATTCATTAAAGACAATTTAGATTGATATTAATAATATTTGAGAGAGTTCTTTGAACCTTTGTGACTTGTTCTTTGAGAATTTATCTTTAAACCTTTACTAGTTTCATAGTTTAAGGTATAAAGTAATTTCTTCTTGTGATATCTTTGGTTTCTTTTTGGTATTCTTTAGAAGGTAATTAGTTTCTACATACTAATTATTGTCTTTAGTTACTCATAAAGCGGTCAAGATCCGAATCTATCGTTTTGATTCGTTTTCTCAAGTAAAGGCGTTAGATTTCTACCATAAATCTATACGTTGTTACTTGGATCTTTTCAAGGCCTTAGAACATCTAATTCTTGGAAATTCGTGGATCTTTCCTTCGAATCTCCCATATCTTTAGTTAGTTTTGTTGTTTCTTTTCTTGTGCTTCCGCATTCTAATATTCAATTCTCTATTTGTGATCTCCTTAACCTTGCTGTTATCTACGATCATTCCTATACCCATCTCTGTTCTGCCAATTTCCCTGCTCTATATTTGCTGGCCTATCATATTGTCCTTCCCTTGCATAGTTTCGACCTGCATTTCCAAAATTGTAAACCTGATTTCTAAAGTTATAATTTCGAAAACCTCCTTGGTTACCCAGGTAGTTAGCTTCCTCATCTAGATCGATGTCCTGATCTTCATACATGTTTTGCTGTCCCACGGCATTTACCTTTATAGACTTGGCGACAATATGCTTTGTGAGTAGATCTATTGGGTCCTCATGTGTGCCATGTACTGATCCCTTTCTTCTTCTCTCTTCCTTTGTTCCAATGAGAATTCAAATGTGTAACCCAGATCTCCTACCTCTGCAACTCTAGTGTACCATGCCCTGTTGTTCTTTGACACCTCATCTAACAGTTGCATGCTCTCCGAGAATGTCTTCCTCATGAATGATCCTCCACACACTACATCAACAATAGGTTTAGTGACATAGTTTAAAGATCTATAAAAATCTTGTTTCAGATGCCTCTGAGTGAGATCATGGTTAGGGCATTTCTTCAGCTTTTGGTTGAATCTCCACCAGGTGTCATGCATTGCTTCTCCTGGTAGCTGCTTATGCGTATTTATTTCATCCTTCATTTGCAGCTCTTTTGATTTTGGAAAGAATCATTCCAAGAAAGCTTCCTTCAGCTCAGTCTAAGTTTTGATGGAGTCGTCTGGCATCTCATTCAACCAGTTAGTTGCCTCTCCAGTAAGAGACAATGGAAACAACCTCAATCTCATCGCTGTTTGGTTAACTCCAGGGATCTCTTGTGACTTGCAGATTGCCACAAAGTTCATCAAATGTTGTTTTGCATCATCACCAGCTGCACCCCTGCACATACCTTTCAGATTCAACAGTTGAATCATAATGTTGGTGATTGTGAACTTAACACCTGGAGGTAGTGCAGGTAACACTATTGATCCAGTAGCTCCAGCTCCATCAAAATCTGCATCATCCTCTTCATACATCATGTGCACTGGATGCTGAGCTCTACCTCTTGGAGCTATTGGTTGGCGCTGGGGAGGGATTAATCCATCCACTCATATATTTTCATCTACCACCCTAGGCTGGTTGTTCACAACATTTTGCTGAACACCTCTTGCAACGGGTTCAACTTCTAGTCCCATTCTTTGTATCTGAGCCTCAAGTTCTTGTGCATTCACCATTTTTTGAAGAGTCTTTCAAAGTTCTGGGTCGTAAGGGATCAATGGAGCTCCTTTACTCCTAGTATTTGGCAAATACAGTAGAACTCACCTGAACGAGACGAAGACAAAGAACAAGACGTAAAATTAGGAAATATAACTACCAATATAATAAAAGCTAGTAAAACACTTATGAATTGAAATTCCCCGGCAGCTACTCCAAAATTTGATACGTCCAAACTCACACCTCAATTAAGAGGTGTAAATGGTCGATGTCAATTTATAGAACACTCAACTTGTGTTGAGGTCGATCCCACAGAGAATTTCTTTACATAAAAGGTGTCACTGTCTCATTTATTTGAATGTCGTTATTATCTCCTAAGCAAACAATGCTGGAAAGTAAATTGAGTTTAGTCTAGATGTTATAGTTACTAAAACTTGCAGTAGAAATCTAGATTAATGACTAACATAATATCACGTAATAAAGTTGATTCAGTTGATTAAGAGAAACCAGGATTGTGTTCACCATAACGTTAGTTCTAGTGTTCTTTCGTAATTGAGTTTCAGGCAATTCAATGTTTACAACATTTATGCGAGTTAATTTCATCTGACACTTCTCAGTCTAATCAGAAAAGTTTCACTAACATCCTCTTGGCCCTAGAGTGTTACTAACATTGACCCTCGCTTACAATGGTTTGATGTTAAAGTTCTTTTCTCTCGAACTCAAACTTTATCTCCAATTCATCAAGTTAGTTCAACTTTTTCCTAACTGGTATTTTTCTCTCAAACAAATGCCAGATACAAGCTTATTATAATGGGTGCACTCTTCATATTAAAAGGATAATGAAAGCTAAAACTACAAATTATAACCACAGATTGCCTGTCACTCGTTTTATGAAATTACAGTTAAAGTTACGTCATAGATCCCACAACCCAATCGTGGTATTTAGCCCCTTATGGTTTCACGTAAACAATAAGAGATATTGAATGAAAACATGATAGAAAAGACTTACGCAAATCAGCAAATCAACAAGTCGCTTTAATAATTCAAGAATCAGAATCCAAACTTCAAACTGATTTCAATGTTCAAACTTGAAAATTGAAAACTAAGAGTTATGCAAACTCGTTCGTCGTTCAAGCTAAGATAAGATAAAAAAACATAAAAAAAATGACCTAATACATTAAATTAAGTGTTTTAAAACAGAGTCCTACTCGAAGTAGGACTGAAATTTGGGAAGCTTCACAGAAAGCTCTACGACCTGTCAAGGGCTTCACGGTCCGTGAAGCCCTCCGTGGTCTTTTCTTGGAGCTTTCCCCAAAAATGGGTCTTCAATACTTGACACTGGATAAGGTACTACAGACAACATCACGGATCGTCAAAGGGACCACGGTCTGTGAAGTCGTTCGTGATCTTCACTTGGACTTTCCCATACTTAGGCCTGAAATGCTAGCACACTGGATCAGGACCACGATCAACACCACGGGTCGTCATGTTGACCATGGCCCGTATAGGTGCCCGTGGTCTTAACTTAGCCCCCATCACTTTGCAACTTCCCTTAGCCTCTTCACTAGTTCCACACCACAACCTGCACCACGGTCCGTAGTGAAGACCACGACCCGTGAGGTTGTTCCTGGTCTTTACTTCCTTCAGTTCAACTTTACTGACTTGTTCTTCATTTCGACCTTCTTTCACTTTTCATTTGATTGACCTGTACAAAAACTACCAAACACATTATATCTACTTAAATAAACTCGATTCTAGTATTAATTCTAAGTTTTCAAGCATCAACTATGCCAAGACTTCGCGGCACATCACCAACGTGGGTAGAAAGGGTCATAGTTTTAGATGATTTCTTATTGGTTTTTAGCATAAACTAGTGGATACACTTAGTAGTAGGTTCTATACCCTAGCAAAATATAAGACAGTTTTGGTAGCGTGGGCTAGACGTTGTATCATCCAATAGCTCATTGTGATGGTTGTCGGTTAGAGAATCTCCCACAGAGTTATATTGTATTTTTATATACAAACTGAGTTGTTACTGTATTCTTTAGTACATTGAGTTGCTATCTATTGTTTTAAAAGCTTTCCATATAGTGCATCTTTAATTGTTGCTTTATCTTGAGTTGAGTATCCAGTGTTGAGTATTTTATTATTGAGTTGGGCCCTATTTCTCAGAGTTGAGTTGAACTATGTTTCACAAAGTTGAGTATCTTATTGTTGAGTTGAGGCGTATTTCTCTGAGTTGAGTTGAACTATATTTCACAGAGTTTAGTCTCTTATTATTGAGTTGAACTATGTTTCATTGAGTTGAGTGATTTGAGAAGAGCTAAGTATGTTTCTTTTCCATCAGTTCAAGATTATGTTTATGTTTTAGAATTCCCCTTACATGCTCGTACATTCCATGTACCGAGCCATTAGCCCTGCATCATTTTACGATGCAGATTTTGGTATTCAGGATCATCAACAGGCGTTTCGTTGAGGTCATGGGATATTCCAGTCAGCTTTGGTGAGCCTTCCTATGTTTCGTAGGACTTCACCTTTATCTTACATTTAGTAATTTTGAGATGTCGCGGGTCTTGTCCCGATATCCTTCTATAATAGTAGAGGCTTCATAGATAGGCAGAGTAGAGTAGTTTTCAATATGTATCTTCTTTGAGTTGTTTTTACAAACTATGAGCTTATCTATTGAGTATCTTTCAGATTATTTTAAAGTTTGGGTATTTGAGTTATTGAATTTAATTCAGTTTTAAAGCTTTTATATGCTTGAGTTAGTCCTCTGCTTGTAGCCAGCCAGGATGAGGGTTCGCTTGGGGACCAACAATGGTTCTAGAGTGTCAGCCACGTCCAGGGTGTAGGATCGGATCATGACAATATATACATAACTTGTAGTTATTTTCACCTTGGATGAAACTTAAATTGGTTATTCAAAGCTACTTCATTTAGCTCTCTTTGGAGGCACTCCACGACTATGACAAATAGATACAGAGGCATGGGTTACCCTGTATAATACCCCTCTTCCCAAAGAAAGAATGTGTGATTTCTCCATTTAGTACGAGGGAATAAGTTAGAATTGTTATGCATTTCATGATCCACTAAATGAATCTACATCGGAAGCCCAAATCTTTTAGCACATTTCTTAAGAAGCTTCATTCAATAGAGTCAGAGATTTTCCTCAAGTCAACCCTTATTACACATTTAGGAGAAAGACCTTTCTTGGGTACCATTTCAAAAGTTCATGCCAAAGATTATTTTTTGTATGTGTAATTGATCTATTTTAATTTGAACTGTAATAAGTCATAATCTGATTTTTATAAGTCAAGAAAATATAATCTTTTTCAAATTGTCCTTATGTGTTATTCTCTCCTTCCAACAATAGTTGTCCACTATATTATTTTGGGATTTCTAACAATACTTGTCCACTTTGTGAAATCAATGGATAATTTTACACTTAGTTCCTAATTACCCTTATCATTAATTATAGTCATTTCTTTATTACATTTTTCAAGACATTGCATTTATTATATTTAAAGGGTGATGCAGTAAAATTACCCTTCCATTTATAGTTTCTTAAAAAGTGCGCAAAGTCAATAGTTGACAAGTATTGTTGGACAGAGGAAGTAATTGATATGAAACAAACTTTCATAAAAGGAATTCAATATATATATATATATATATATATATATTTATATATATATTTATATAAAATCAAATAATTTTATTAATTAAATTAAAGAGGCCTGGCAATAAAAATTGTAACACCATGTTAATTGAAAGAGCTAAAATTAGAAAGAACCATTTCTCGAAAGATCAAATTTGGAATGTTTGGCAAGTTTGGCTAAGTATAAGTTTTGGGTCAACTTCAAATGACAATAACTCTCAACACATGTTGATTTAGATGTTCTATAAGATATTAAATGAAAGGTCTTTGAATTATCTTTCTAATGCCACCAAGTTTGCTAAATTTCGAGTTCGTATGAGAGAGATATTCCCGTTCGAAGTTGGGCTGTCTAGATAAGAAAAGTTAACCGGATTTTAGAGGGGTATTTTGGTCTTTTCATTACCCAATTAATTAAATCTATTTTTAGTAAATTATTTGGGGTCTAAATTGAGTTAGTTCAGTTTACGCACTCAAATTTCACGATAGGGTTTCTAGAGAAAGAACTCAAGAGGAGAAAATAGGAGAAAAGTCAATTGTTCTTGGAGATTTCTTGCGGAATCGAAGTCGTTTCGCCAAAGGTTGATCCCTCAAGAGGTATGTGAGACTTTCATAGCGTTGGGTTCGTTCACCCACACGCCAATCATCTTTGTTTCAACGAAATTCATTCTAGAAAGTTGAAAGCATTATGTTCTTGAAATTGGCTTTCGTTCTTGAGTTTAGATGAGATTGATGAGTTCTTGATGGAATCGCTTCGATTTTATTTCGATTTTAGAGTTGTGTTTGATTTGATTCTTG